ATATATATATATATACACATTTTGTGCTGAGTCATTATGTTTGTCCTATATTGTCATGTATTATTGTGTTTAAAAAAAATCATCTTTTTGATTTTTACAAGAGATAATATCAGCCGATTAAATGGATAGAGGATGGAGTACTTGCACACACCCATTAACACAACATCACTTCCAGTCAAACTTTCTTCCTCAATCCCGTGGAGCCAAAGACGGAAATAACAACACTGGAAGAGCGTCCCAGCCTTACATTGTAGAGCACAGTGGTCCATCCCTCCATGGTGATGCACTGGAAGACAGTGAGAACAGCAAACAGGATGTTGTCAAATTGCGTGATGCCATCATTGGGGCCTATCCACATATCGCTGCAGGTGTATTTGGCCGGACACTGGCGCACACCACATGGGAACTCATATTCAGAAGAATCCACTGTCTCGTTTTCTGCACGGGTGCAAGGTGAAGAGACAAAAAAACAAACAAAAAACAAACTCAATTTCTGCATGTGACTTGGTTTTGAGAAGTCTGCACACCCGCGTTCAAAAGCCAGGTTTTGGTGAGATAACACAATGAAACAAAAACACAAGTGCCACCATTTAAAGTGCCTGTGCTTACCCATATGAAGCTCAGATGTTCTAGTGGGCTTTTCCTGACATTTTTTTGTTTTGAGCAGAAGCCTGTTTTGGGCTAACACTGACTGCTCTGTTCACAATTCCCTCCACAGGTAGGTTTAAAGGCAATGCTGAATGCACAATAGTTCAAATATGGCAAAAATAAGAAGCAGGTTTGAATGCACAGGACATCTCTGCCGGTCTGGTTTGATCCAATCACTTGGTGGATTGTGATGCTATGTGTGCACAACGGTGATACAACCTAAAGGGTTATGTAAATATCGGTAGCTGAAGGTCACTCAGCATTAAGGCAGCCAAATAGAGCTCCGTCGTACCTCTTTGGATTTAGGTTGCGCAATGCTGTTTTCAGCTCAAAATTTGAAAACGACTTTTTCGTCTGTTCACGTTGATGCATTATTCATGGCTTTTCCAGCCACAAATTGCTCCCTTTTGTTTCATTCATTCCATTGGGGAGGGAAAGGCAGAGGATGATTTCTTTTCTTTTCTTTTTTTTCTTTTTTCAGGACAGCTGAAATTAGTGCTTGGAAGAAGAAGCATCTTAAATAACAGTAATATCCGGATGCCACTGCTCTGTTCCCTCACACATTTGCACAGCGTGATTTGTAGCATCATTGTTCGCATCTAAAAATGGGACATTACAACTCGAGTACACATCGTTACCTCTCTGTGGGAAATGACTCTTGGAATTATCTGTGACGATGCAGCTAACATGTCTATCTGATTATAGACCCCCTCATCAGTTCATAAGGCACACTTCAACAAGCATTGGATGGCCAGATTCAAGCCCCGAAACGAACTGTGAAGCAGATCTGCTAAATGTTCGACAAGTCTATCGAAGCAGCCCTTGAAAAGAACAACTTTGTCAGTTTACAAACAAACTACCGGTAAATATTTATAACTTTGGTTTCTAGTGGTCGGTGCCTACATTGTATAGTCCAGAGGTTCTCAAACTTTTGATATCTAGGGAGGCACATTTTTCCGAGTACTGTACGTCAATTGGATGGATGGATATGCATATGTACACATAAGAATTTAAAAAATTGCCTAATTTTACTGAAAACCCCCCAGATGCCTTATATTTGGCTCCGGGAAGAAAAAAAAGCTGGTAATAACATACCTTTTGTCCAACTTTATTAATCCTGGGAATTATCGGATACATCGCAGTCATATTTGCGCTTTTAATTGGCCCATACCTAAGGTCAAGAGAAATCATTGGTTGTGTTCTAAAGCCTAACCGAGTATTCCAGGCTGCGGCGTGCAGGTGTGGTGCAGTTTGCCGCTGTAAAACTCCAAGCCGATGATGGCGAACATGAGGATCGCAAAAAAGAGAAGCAGGCCGATCTGGAGCAGGGGAACCATGGCCTTCATTATGGACTTCAGGACTATCTGCAGACCTGAGACGAGAGCATAAATCATTCACAACGCGCACACATTTCAATTTGATCCTATTCTATTCTTTGTGCTTTACAAACATGATAACGCTCTGTTTTGATTGGCACAGTCAGAGAGCTAATCATTTAACCACAGAAAGAACGTGAGTATTTTATAAATGGATGGGCTGTCTTATTTTTGGACGGGAGGAATCTAGCTTTGTCTGGCATAACGGCAAAGCAATTTCAAGAAATTTTAAAGATTATTTTAGAAATGTGAGCTAGTTGCCCAAATTGTGGGCTATTTGCTAATGCAGGTGAATGTACCTGATAATGTTACAAAAATATGAAAAAAAAACCATGCATGCAAAGTTTTTCTTTTTGCAAAGAGCATACCAGGGTAAAGTAGCTATGAGTGAATCTACTCAGTATCATGAATTAAAAAAAATATTGGCGGGATGGAAAGGCTGGCTTCTCCCCCCCCCCCCCCTTAATACTCACTAGGGATGCCCGAAACCAGTTTGAGTGGACGCAGCACTCGCACCGCCCTCAGAGTCCTCAGATCCACAGAGATGTTCATATGAGCACCTGCTGCAGCCAGAATCCTGATCAACAAAGAGAGAAATGTGGAAAGAAGAACAAAAGGCATGATTGTTGGGATTGAATGCAGGAAGAGGATAGCCTCAAAAGCACACACAGTGTGTCGGAGGAGGGCTGCAGTGCTCTGATATGGACCACGAGGATGTGAGGTTCTGCAGCCATAAACAACTGGGGGGTTATTTGGGGTTGTTTTTGGCTGTTTCTCTGCGTGTGGGAGGATACGCTGTGGCAAGTGCTAGTTTAGGGCAGAACAATGAAAGCGTCTCCGCAGCGTGAAACCACATGAACCTCATGGACACAAAGTCACACGTACACACACATAGACAATGAGTCTTTTACGGCTGCACAAAGTAGACTTTTTTTAAACTTACACAATAACGCCAAACTCTGACTTTTAACACCTCACAACGGGAGTCCCATGCACATTCTAACAGCATTTGGGTTATTTCATCAACCCAAATGATGGGTTGTTTTGCGTTGGGTCAAATTTCTGGGTTATTTTGCTGAGAATTTTAAAAAAACAAACTGTTAGGTCAAATTATGTAACCATTTGTTGGTTTACATGGCTGATATGGTAACCCAATTCCTGTGTCGATTGCATTCCGAAAAACGTAGACAGTTGGCAGCCATGACAGCCAAGTGGTCAAGTTAATGGCATAATATAATAATTTTAGCATTGTGGGATTTCTTACGTTTAACAAACAGCAATTGAGTCGCTCAGCCACAAAGTAACATATCATAGTTTATAATCTACCATCAATAATTGAAGTGACACTCTAAACTGGTTGCAGACTTGATATTAAGTTAAGATGTGGAATGTCGGGAATGGAAATTAATTTGTGTTCATAGGCAAGAAAACTGGATTTAGCTTGATGCCTGCGAACACACAGCCACATCTGTCATCAACACATCACTAAGCAGAGATCAAGTGTGATCGTAGTGATGTGATTATTGTGGGGAAATGTGTACAAAAAATAAATAAACGATAGGCCAGAGTGACGCAACAGCTCTTGGTTCCAGCGGGCCACCAGTGCACGCGCAGTCACTGGAGATCTTTGAGGCCAGGCACTGATGAAGTAGACTATACATCATCTTAAAAATGTAGCTGGATCCAGATGATTTTATTGTGTGCAACCACTTGATGAAATAAAACGTGGCTAAATTCATCACATTTTTTTTCCAGTATAGCCAATTAAAAAATTTACTTCTAAAAAGATTTGCCTAATGACAGTCAACAATATAAATGCATTACGGAGTCATTTGGAATCAAAAGAATTTGAATTCAGATTTTTTTTTTTTTTTTTTAAACCTAACCCTTTTATTCAGGTTTGGTTTACAGTAATTAAAAGAAGACAAGACAGGAGGTAGAACACGTCGGCCTGAAATAAGTCAGACGGGGTGGGAAGGACTGAAATAGCTCCTCACCATCATCATCATTATCATCATCGCCACAAATATAGAAAGGGAATTATCCTCATGAGCTTCACACCTCCAACTATCCTCCCCCCTGTGGAGTTTCCCTCTCAGCCTCATTTGTTCCCAAGCTCTTTATCTCCCTCTCGTCCTCCTCTTCTTCTTCATCTTCATCTTCTACTTGGTCTCGCGTTCCACAACTCTGGTTTGTTGTCAGGTCATCCGGCACTTCCTGCACATCTCTCTTCGCTCGCGTCTTTCTTCACATCATTAGTGTGTCGTGGCTGCTTTTTAGTTGTTAAGGCGACAAAAGGAGAGAAGTTCTAAAAAAATGTCACCCTCGTTTGGTTCAGTCAGCCAGTGGACGGGTGAATCTCACTCCCAGCATCCACCAACTAATAAAATATGTTATCTTTGATGTCCTTTACTAAGCAAATGTTTTTGTGTATGACTTGTTTGTTCATGTCGGACTGTTGGATATTCAGCGGCAATTAAAACAAAATAAAACAAAAAATATGAGAAGCCTCGCCGTCGCTTGTGCGCGATCATTAAGTATGACAGCTTCGCCGTCTGGAGCTGGAAGTCTGGCAGCAGACAGTGCGACATGTAAATAAGCCAAGGGAGTAAAAACACACGCTTGAACTGGCACAAAGCAATTTGGCTCACATTTTGTGTCCTCCCTCCTTTCCTCACTCACAGGCTGTTCGTTTGTTTGTTGGGGGGGTGTGTGTGTGTGTGTGTGTGTGTGTGTGTGTGTGTGTGTGTGTGTGTGTGTGTGTGTGTGTGTGTGTGTGTGTGTGTGTGTGGCAAAATAGCAAGTAAGATCCAACACTGTTTTATCCACAATGAGATGATTACAATAAAATTAAATTGCTGCCTTGTGGTGGTCCCTTCTCACCAACCAGCTATCAGTCTGTATTTTCCCTTACAAGCCACCTCATTAAACTCGTACACACACATCTGAGAGCCAAAACAACATCTGTAACTGAAAATTTGCTTTTTCAACGACATTAAGGCTCAGATGTGCAAAGTTGTCGGTCTAGTTTCGCTCTTACAGAAAAGAAGAATGATTTCACACGCATTGCCACGTACGAGGTCTGATGACAAACACCTCAGCCGCGTGATCAGAAACACAATTGTTAACTTGGAACCATTTTACATTGCATAGATGTACAGTGTCTGTACAGTATTGAAAAACAAACAGTATGTTTATTATTTTTGAACAGTTGTTGAATAATTTTCTTCTGTCATTTGGATGGCGTTTCTGGGAGACGACATGCCCGGAAACTTACCATATTTTCCACACTAGAAGGCGCACCTAAAAGCCTTCCATTTTCTTAAAAGCTCACAGCATGCCTTAAAATCCGATGCGCCTTGTGTATGGTCATTACGGTAATTTGTCAACCCCAAAATAGCTCCTTGCTACAGACATGCTTACGACGCAGAGTTCGAATTTAAGGCGATCGGTTTCGCAGTTGAACACGGAAATAGAGCAGAGGCAAGAGAGTTCAACGTTAATGAGTCAATGTTATAACTTGCTGTTGGTTAAGTGAACTGTGTCGCTGCTTTATTAAATAAGTTTTACTGACATCTGATCGTCGCTATATAAATCAGGGTGTAGTGTAGTGTTCTGTTGGCATTTCCTTGAGCGTATCTCCTCCATCTAGTGGATGCATTGTAGATTGCGTGTTATAATGCGGTGCGTCCAATATATGAAAAAAATCACAAAATAGGCCATTCATTGAAGGTGCGCCTCATAATCCTGTGCGCCTTTTAGTGTGGAAAATATGGTACCACTTATTGCAAACTGGAATATATTTTGATGAAAATGTATATATTTTAGGCTCACGTAGGGGGTCCTCACTTACGAGTCATTCGAGTTCAAGTAATAATAATAATACATTTTATTTATAAGCGCCTTTCAAGACACCCAAGGACACTTTACAAAAACAAAAAACACAAAATACGGGTTGAGCAGCGGCAGCCAAACGCGTCAGCATTCACTCAACCCGGAAGTCAGAAAGAAACCACAAGGTAGTATAAATAATATCTATCCAAGAGACTTTTCCATGCTATGACAACGAGGCACTTTTAGTGTCAGCTTGAAGCCCCTGCACACATGCTGGCTGTCACATCGAACTTTTCCCCAGCCTCGCTCTTCCTCCTCCTCCTCCAAAAACCAGATCATTCATGACTACCAGGTTCACTGATCCATACGAAATTTGGGGGACAGACATATCATGACAGGATGCGCAAAAAAGTCTCAAAAACTAACAACTGAAATTGAACAGGAAGTCGGCCATTTTGCAAGCAGCCACCCTGGCAGCTTTTCGGTTAGCTCATTATTTCATGTTGTCGTGCCAAATTTTATGTGTTGAGTTTAATGAACACGAAAGCAATTAAGCGGAGACAAAACAAAAACAAAAACAAAAAAACGCTCACTGTATTTTCATGACCTTTAGATTTTTAATGTCATCCCTTTATTAGCGGTCTCTCGCAGACATTTGTGTGAAAAGTTACGGTCATCAAGCGGGGGTCTTCGTGAGGTCCACGAGGCTGTCCACTAATCAGTTCATCCTGGGGTGTAAGTGGATTTGTGGGTCAAACCCAAATTAATTTCCTCTCAGCCTATTCCGTTTACAAAGCACTTAAAAAAAATAAAATAATGTAATGTAGTTGATTAATTTGTTCCAGGTCAAACTATCGCCATCATAAACCTTTGCTAATGGTACAGGTTTATTATGTACTATATTGTACTTGTTAAGATCGAATAAATTCAGGCAGCTATTTTTTTTTCCATTGGTAATGATTGAATAAAATGCTACAAATGTATGAGTCACATGAGCAGTGCTGGAGTAGTAACAAAATGCATTTAGTCAAAGCATAATGGATGCATTACTATTGTTATAATTACATCCATACTATAGACATTCCATGCCTCTATCTCAGAGTGGTCACCAGTTAATTGCAGGGTACATATAAAAGTAGACAAACAATCATTGGGTGGACTTTTCTTTCTTTTGGTGTTTTCCAACACTTTGGACAGGTAGAATTGGACGTACCGAGGCATTTGTTTGTGCAGTTGTGGGATGGAAGTAGCCTTTTCCCTAAATTGCATTAAAATCAGGGCGGTCAGAGCTCAGCACGCCCTGCACTTCTGTATAATATTGATGGTTTCTATAATTGCGACGTGATAGTTGGCAGTACTAAGAGGTGGATTGGGTTAGATACGTCCCTACTGAAGGCCAAATACACAGACCACCACTGAGTAACTCAATAAAACTCAATATGAATGAAATGCATTCCCCTTTTATGTGGCACATGGTGCTCATAACAACTTCTCTGCAAAATTTAAATATCCACTGTAAAGCATGACTTTGGTGTGTCATAAAACCCTTTGTTGTGGACAATTAATGTGAGCACTTATAACTCTGATTCGTTAAGCAATCCTGAGATGGTTCTGCTGTAAATTCATTTCTAAAGTCACAAAAAACTTTACAGTGCCATTTTGCACAAAATCCCATGAGACCTCAGACCTGCAAGCATCAGAATATTAACACTGTGGGCTCTTTATTTGTGCCCAGTTCAAGCC